CCTCCAATCTGTGTGATCCCATTTGCTTTGTCATAATATCACTTCCCCTTCACTTCAGTATCTAGGCGCATAACCAAGGCCTTTGTTTACGTTCTATTCAGGAATTGATTTTTTTTTTCTCCCTTCAGAGATAGACTTCCCCCAGCTGCTCCGCATGTACACTCCCCACAAAAAAATCACTCACTGTCGTTATAATCTCCTCTGAAAGATGAATATTTGTGATTCCTGCCCTCCCTCCAAGAAAAGTACTTTTTGTAGATGTTGTTTTGTTAGCAGACAAAGGGAATTGCTCTAAATCCTGGCAGTCTATCCCTTCAAATGTAATCTTATATGTCACAGTGGACTCAAAACATTCTCATCCAAAGCAATATCTGAAAGATTATAGACCTCAATCCAGTGTTAATACTGGTATGAAGGATGATTGTTCAACTCATTGTTGTTCAATGCAAACTGTATATGTGCATCAACTGGGACAGAATTGAACTTGTGGAAAAAGCTCCTGTTTGTCTTCAAAAAGTTATGAAAATGCCAAAACCTTCTTTCAGTGAATCTTTTTTTCCCTTTGCCACATTACAAAAACAAGAAAAAAGTTGAAACTGTAAGGGCTGGAGTTGGATGGGGCGAGATCCGGACATTTGATCTGTGGCATAATGAAGTATTAGCTTCCATTACAGTGCAGGCTTAACCTTTTTGCGGAGCACCATTGAGCGCTTGCCAGCAGTCATCAATATTTAACAGCTGTTGCTATTATGAAATTCTTTATGGGCTAATGTGGCTCGCCGGCTTGCACGCAAGGCCTTGGCAGACCGCCAGCACCCTGTCAGGAGGAAGGGGGGGGGAGATTGACAGACGGCTCGCTCGCGTGACAACCAGCCCTTGATCAGCCAGCTTCTCTCTCTCTTTCCCTCTCTCTCTCTCTGTTGGTGTTGCTCTCTCTGCTGTGGATTTCCTGTGCCTGTGGAGAGAGAGAGAGAGAGAGAGAGAGAGAGAGACAGAGAGACAGAGAGACAGAGAAGAAGAGCACTGAGGGAAGGGGGCGGGAATAGGCAAAGGAAGTGGCTGTAAGCCAACCCAACCTCAACACACACATATGCACACACACACAGTTCTCTCTACTCACGCAAGCCTTGTGGGAGGGGAGGGACTGCTGTGCTGCACAGCCTTCACATGTTCAGGTCTGGAGCTCTTCTTTACGAGCCAGATGATCAGCTGCCAAAAGATGGCACCCGTGCTGCTGGAATCAGGGCGACAGACAGCCTGATCACATGGATGTGTTTGGGGGATGTTTTTCAAAAGACATTTGAAAAACATCAGACTTCTGACAAAGACAATTTAAGTTTGGACAAATGACTTTCTTACTACTGGTGGAGGAAGTATTCAAATATCCTGCTTATGCTAAAGTGCAATATTGTAATATAGAAATATTTTCATTTCCTGCTTTAAAATCACTTAACTAAAAGAGAAACATTAACTGCAAATTGTACTTACAGCATAAAAAATTAAAGTACTCATAAAGCAGGAAAAATCTGGCCCCAGTAAGTGTTATTTAACACTCACATATTATAGTATTCGATTACAAATACATTCGTGTGTGAGTCACATTTCACTGTTGAAGCAGGTCGTGGTTGTGCTAATTTTAACTACTTTATGTACTGTTAGAAAGTTCAACAGTGCATCATATGTTTTGTATGTAAAATCGAATTAATCTGTAAAATAACTATTGCTGTCAAATAAATGTTGAGTATAGTACTTAAGTAAAAGTACGTAATTACCATTTAATTAATAACTCACTTATTAAATGTACATATTTTCCAATAGAATTTAATTTAATTTCCGCTACAAATTCCTTTAAACTGGCAGTATAAAGTTATGAATGTCCTGAGACACTTTAAAAAAAGCAACAATAACCACCTGTTTGACTCGATTTGGAGTAGCATGCATGCAGGCTGGTATTTCCCAGGTTAAAACCCTGCAGCAGCTTGTGTTGTGTCTATGAGAAGCCATGTACGAACACTTACCTGCATATTGCTCTGGAGCATGAGATAAAGAATGGACCTGGAGTATTACCTCCAGTTCAAAATGCATGCTACCCTTGTACTCACGATTCATATAATGCTTTGAGTCATGCAACGCTCTTCTGCAGCACTCTTCAACATAATGTCATGCCATGCCACCATTGAATCGAATGCTCTAATGTACAAGACTGTATTGAAATATTCATTTCGGCACTTCTCATCATTTTGCAAGACATTTCTTTGTGTTTTATCTCCATTATCCCCAGAATGAGAGCATGTCAGTGACACCATTGGCCCACAGAGACTTCTCTCCTCCTTCTCTTCACTGTTTTCTCTTCATATTTCTCTTTTTCAACTGCTCTTGGTAGAGTGGGAGGAAGTGGCTTTGGAGCAGAGGGTGCTGAAAACAGACAAACACACCCAGACTGTGCTGCACACACCCAAATGCTACACAGCCAAACTCAAATCACCCCCTAGAGGTTGCAGAAATTAATACCTGATTGATAGGGACTGTGGCCTAAGCTCACACATATGTAAACTCACACACTGTTTTTTTCTCATGTGCTCATTCTTAGTCTCTGACAACAAACAGCAATGAACATTTTGTGGATGTGGGACAAATTCAGCAGCTTTTTGACCTTAACAAGAGCACCAGAAATAATTATTTTGGCATGCAGCATTCATATCACATTTTACAGATCTTTGCTCACTTCCTCACAATCTATTTCCGTCATATTCCCTTTTCCTTACATCAGATTATCTTTTAATTTCAACATATCAAATCTGCTGTCATCAAAGGCTCCATAGTTGCTCATCAAAGGTTTTCTTCAGTGAATTGTGACTTAAAATGTGCAAATTGAGGCCCACTGTAGCTTAATGTTTGGCGGGTGGTCCTAATATTTTGCGTACTAAGTGGAAGTGGAAAGACACACCTGGTCGACTAAAGGAGCTAGACACTTTCAGCCTCACCCTTTGGCAGCATCTACATCCCTCTACTTGTCACTTTTTACTTAACACCCCGTCCTCACACAGAGCACATAAACGCCTCACCATTACCTACTCTGTTTTCCTTTTAAGACCAGAAAGGGAGAAAATAGAGGCAAAGAAAAGCAAACCCCGAAGACACGAGAGATGATGAATAAAGCTCGTATTGTTGGCAGAGGAAGTACTGGTGCCGATAATTAATCATCCCATATGTTTGTCTTTCCTGACGCTGCATCCTCTCCAAAAGCTGCCGTAAGAGAGAAAACAAAAATACATGAGGCGTTGAAGGAGGAAAATAAAGAGGCTTATTAGATTCATTTCCCTCTGCACTACTTTCCACTGGTTGGATGATTTTGCGGTGATTGAAGAGAATGGCGTGTGTGTGTGCGTGTGTGTGTGTGGCTGTCTGAGTCTATTTGTTTGTGTGTGTTAGCACCTAACGGAGGTGATGACAAAATACTTAAAATTATTACTGGCATTTATGAGTTTACGAAGCTGCCTGTCAGTGCAGTCATCAGCGTTCTTAACCGGATTTTCAGCGGCAGAGATGCACATTACGGCCTTTATTTTCACTCATAGCTTGAGTAAACCTGCAACTGGGGAAATAAATGATTAAAACAAGAAAAAATTAATCCAGACAAAAATGTATGGATGAAAAAAAAAGAAAAACAGGCGCATTGGCTTTGTGTGTTTCAGAGTGGAATTAAAAGAAGGGAAACTCTTCCAGCATCACGAAATCGGTTGTCGATCGCCTGCGATGCCCCGAGTTGAACAAAGAAAGGGTGGAGAGATGAGGAGGAGGAGGAGGGTTGATGGGGTAGGAGTGTGGGGGGACAGGGGGGACAGGAGATTGCAGAAGGTTAAAGGGGGAGGAAAGGAAGCCGTAATGGGGTTATTTGATGGGGGTGGGGACTATACGAAGCATGGAAAGATACATACATACATACTTAGATAGTTTTTCATAATGAGGCTATGGTGTGTGTGTGTGTCTGTGTCTGTGTGTGTTGCGTGACTAATCTTTGCCTGCTACAATGAGTGACGGAGCGTAGGCCTGATCTCTTGGAGTGAGCCACATGCCCCCTGACAGCACACCCATAAGAGAAACACGCAAACATGCCTCCAACACGCAACACACACGTCACCAATGCACATGTGACAGTTCTGCACGCCACACTCATATAGGCTAATTGCATGTATACACACTCTGGCATGGTAGTAGGTAGTAGGTAGTAGGCCTTCCTTTAAGGCAGAAAAAGCATAATATAGTTGTTAATGGAGTGTGACTTACTTGTGATATTGTTATAACTTTGGTTGGTTTTTCTACTCTATTAATATCAGATGGCACAAAGATTACAGATACATCAGCAAGTATGTGTTTGCAGAATTTTATGAATGAAGAACAGACCCCCAGTCCAAATACCTCAATTTTAACAAGTTCCTATTCAGTTTTCAAAGATTCATTTCAAATTCAGTGATGATTTTCAACAGAAATGAAATAATTTTCTCTCTTCGATAAACTTAAAACTCCCAAAGTGCACTAAATGCTGTCCTCTACCTCACTCCGTGTGTACAAGTGAGCTTTGAATGTGCATGTGGCCATATCGTGTGAGACGAATCCCGTAAAGTCATGAAATCCTCCACTGTTTTGTCTTGTTGGACCGGCCCACCTCACTGGCTAATACCTGGTGTTAGTGCAGTGCGAAAGGAGACTGATACAGTTAATGTGTCCGCCATATGTCTGAGTGTCGCTCCAACTTTCTCACTGCCATATCAAAGAGGTTGTGGGAGAATTGTTGAGCGCTGGAATCATTGTTGTTATCATTCTCAGTGTTTCCTGTGTTGACAGGGCTCTGTGTTCTGAATGTGCAGCAGAACAATAAATTAAAGTCAAGAATGTGACCTGTGTAATGTGTGCTTGAATTTTTTGTTGCCATTTTTTACATCCTTGAACCCACAAGATGCTATTAGTTTATTTACCCTTTTTCTTTTTATGTCTTACAGCAAACCAAGATAAGACCTCCAGGAAGCACATCAATAGCACAGCATCCTCTAACTCTGAACCCAGGAAAGAGAGCCTTGCACTGGGCACCGGTGTCAATGAAAGCAGCCTCCTCCTGGAAGTAAGAAACCACATGGCCGTTTGTGTGTGTGTGTATGTGTATCTCGTGGAATATTTCTGTGTGTATGCAAACGCTGCCCTAAAGCTGTTTTAATAATCCCTTTTTATTTTCATATCGTTGCCTTTTTGGCTGTACTTTCACCATCACCATCGATGAAATCCTCGCCAGTTTGCATACACGCCACTCAGGGGACCATTTTTGTCTGAGTGACTGAGTGTGAATTGGGAAGGGGGGGGGAGGGAGGGTTTTTGTGTGTGTATTGCGTGTGTGCCCTCCGCCCTTTGCCCCGACCTCCTTTGCAGAGCCATGGTGTTGCGTGACATTAGGGTGAGACGGGAGTGTCGGAGCTGATGAAGGAGGTGGGGACTCGCACACGCTGGCGGCTCCAGCAGCCGGTTTGTCTGTATGAGTGCACCTCTGTCTGAATGCATGTGGTCGTGTGTGAAAGTGAGCAGAAGAGGGTGAGAAGAGCACACCAAGCCTGTCAGCAGTAATCAGAGCAAACAGGAGATTTGTGTTTTGTCAGTTGACCTTAGACCTTTCATCAGATTTTAACCACATTTTAATTATAAGTGCACATCTGTCAGGGCATGACAAGTAATGTGGAGATATGTTGTTAAATTCCTAGAAAAGCTAATGTTTCTGTTGAAGGCATCAGAGCAGACAGACACAGAGTACAGCGGCACTACGTGGGAACTGTGAGAGCATCAGATCATTGCTACACACTCAATATTCTAATGGCTGTCTGTCAAACAACAAATTATGACACTGATCATCGCCCAACAACTACGTGCTCACAAACACAAACACGCACACACACACACACACACACACACACACACAGAGCTGAGCTGATCCACTGATGCTTCTGTTAATGTGTTAGGTTGTCTCAATGGGGTGGTAAACAAAAGGATAGATTGACCGTAGTGATGTGCTGCCTCCCGTTGCGTGACTCAACCTGCACCGGGGCCTCATAGCATTGCATTAGTTGTTATGGTGATGGGAAGAGACAGATATCTGTCTGTGCGTGTGTGTATTGTGTAAGTGTGTGTGAGTGTGTATATGATCATTAAATATACAGTATATGCATATAAATACACAATATATTGTATATTTTATTGTATTTACAATATTTAACTTTTTTATATATGTAGTATATTTTATATATGAAATATGGAACATATAAATAATAAGTCCACAGCCATGCTAACAGCTCTGTGAGGTTGTACTGAGGCACAGCAGTGCTTTGCGCTAAATGCTATCGTCCACATACCAACATGCTCATCATGAAAAGTATGATTCCATCCATCCACCTGTATTTATGTACGTTTAAATTTTTGCATCGATAACCTGCACAGAAATGCCGGAAATTAGATTAGAGTTAAAGTTTTGTATTAAAAAAAAGCCAAAGAATCAAATTACGGATTAGGAGACACAAATTAATACATGAAAACAAAAAGTGGGTTTGACTGGTGCCCTTTTAATAACGTCATCTTGTTGTGCCATCTGCAATGGTTTAATGGCACCAAACGTTTTTCTGTTTATGTCAATGAACTAGCTCCTGTATTTGCATAACAATAGCAGATGGAAACAGCCGTTAATTCGCATTTTATTTGGCCACTTTCCTGGAATTCTTGTGAAAATGTGCACTATTTAGATGCAACTTGACTGATGATAACATGATGACACTAAGCAGGATGTTATCAGAGTTGTTTACCTTGTTCACCCAGAAACCAAAAACCGACATTACCATCCCTGGAGCCACAACTTTTAGCTAACATGGCTAAAAACTAAAAAAGAAAATTAAAAGAAACTTCTGATTCTGTGCTGTAATGTGCTTCTTATGTGTGACTGTGGTTCCAGTCACTGGCTGATATACAACATTTTCCCAAATATAATTCAATATATCAGAATCCCGTATTATTCTAACCTCAGTATGTGTGTGAAGGATGTGGGTGTGTTCCCGGTGGCAGAAGGTCTCCATGTTTGTCATGACCTCATCATCACCGCTTTCATCTCACTCTGACAGCTAGACAGAGGCAAAACCGAAGAAACTCTGTTGAAACAACGAGACGAGTCTACCCCACCACCACCTCCACCACCTCCCACCTCTTCCCCTCCCTCCCTTGCTTCCAAATCCAGTGAACCAATATTTTATTTTGGGCTCTGCGTGCAAAGCGCCTCTTAAGATTTGTAAGTCAAAGCTTTTAGTCTCCCAGGGGCGGTTATGGGAGCCGGGGGCGTCGTAGTTGCAGATATGTGGTGGAGCGAGCCAGCAGCAGGTGCCTGTTTCCATTACCTAAAGGCTTTAGTATGCAAGGAACTGAGGGAAATGTGAATGGAGAAGACATACAAAAACAGCATGTGCACAGTGCCGCCAATATTATAGAGTATTTCTTTCTTTGTTTCTTGTTTGGCCTTTAGTTTGGTTGTTTTTGATAAAGAAAATACATTATTATTATTATTATTATTATTATAGTTCTTTAGGCATTTTGCTGGTTTTTCTTTCCAGCTCTGTATATGAGAAATAAATTGTAAAAGGTCTCTCTTATTCCAACATAAATGATGGGTGTTCCCATAATGGTTTTGGACACGTGAAAAATAACTGTACTGTATTCATCTGTAATATATTTGCCAAACATTCCATTTTGGAAAGCCAATTACAGCAATCAACCAACAAAATATACAGTTTTTTCCTGCAAGTCCAAGGCTTATTTGTTCCAGAAGAATAAAAATGTTGAAGTCCTTTAAAAAGAAAATGGGTTGCAGAAACTTAATGTGGCATTTCAATGTCTTGGAAGAGGAATGGAGAAAGGTGAACTGGCTAAATAAACCAAAATGAACCCAACATGTAAATATTGGCCTTTTTATGACTACATAGGACCTCCTAAAGGCCACATCACATTCAAGTTTATTCACACCGTTTTCATGTCCAATGTTCATATAGGCCCTCTAGATCACTGAGTCATTTATGAGACCACAAGAAACGTAACATTCCTAAATGCTTACATGTTTAAAGTTAAATGCTTGTTGAAGGCAAGCTCTGTAACTGAACCTACAATTTCTTATATGAATGTATTTGATGTCTTAATAGGACAATCAACATCACAGCTTTTTACTCTGAATAAAGCTACACCACCTGAACACCTTATCTTTCCTTAGACACATGGTTTCAATGCAGTAAAGATTCCAGATTTAGACATTTTCATAGTTTTCACACTGTCACAGTCACACTGTTTTTATAAATATATTAGATTTGGCCCCAACATGCTGTTACCAGATGTTTGTACAACCCCATGTAACCAATATATTAAGTATATTAGAAATTGTACTAAGCTGTATTGATCCCACATTTTCCTATCTTCATTTCAAAAGCTTCAGATCAATCCAAAAGGTTCTGTTTCTTGCCCAAACCTTGCTTGTGCTGAGTCAGGTTCAAAATTAGGGAAAGCGATTGTTTGCAAAGCACATACATATTTGTGCATGTCTTACTTCTCATTAAAGTGGTAGCATCATTTATTTTTGAGTGCTTGCTGGACAAAGCTGTGTGTTTGTTTTTGTGTGTGAGCATGTGGGGGGTCACCCTCCCCCTGGATGTCATGAACATGTGCCAGTTGACCTTGTCAAACAACATCAGCATCTACACCGACGAGAACCTGAATCACCTTCCCATCCCATGCTTCCCTCACCCATCATACATGTTTTGTACATATTCTCATGTCATAGTCGAGATATGTTTCTGTCTCAGAGTTGCTTCGTCACAGCATGACTCACGTACCTCTGGCTTTTAGGACAAATCGCTCTACATATCACAGACAGGTATCAGAGTGCATTATGTGGTTGGGACAGAGCAGTGAGCAGAGCATTACTCTCTTCACTGAGGCAATCAGATCACTGTTGGGAGAAAGTGAAAGAGGGAGACATGGAGGAACAGTGAGTATGAGTGTGAATTTAGAGGCCACAGGGATATATACCACACACACACACACACACACACACACACACCAGGGAAGACCTGCATAGTCTCGCAGTAAAATAGAGGTGACAGACTCTGGCAGAAGCAGTCACGCAAGTCAAGTAGCCTTGCAGTTGTCACGCTATCGCAGCTGTGTGTGCACACACACATGCACACACACACTGGAGGACCTCTTCCAAGTCTCCTTCCTGTGTTTTTGCTTCCACCTCCATCTGTCTATCCCTCCTCATTTGACTGAAGCCAGTTATGTATTTATTTAAATGTTCATTTTTAATCAACACTTGTCTCCGTAAGCTGTGCTGCTGGCCAAACACATTTTTCCCCTTGTGTGCATGGGTGTGTGTAAAGAGAGAAAGTGGGAACGAGGCTGTGCTTGTGTCTGGAGTTTCTCTGCTTTTAATCTGTGTGTTTGATATCACAAATCAAAGCATGTTACAAACAGACTAAATGATCAAAGTTTCTGACTTATGAAATACATAAGTTTAAAGGGGAGCAAATTGGCGTGTATGTCATCCTCAAGTTAACTGCTTTAAAAATACCATGAGTCTAAATTCCACCAGAAAATATTCTAAAAAGGCTTTCAAAAGCAATTTTTTGCATTACAAATCAGCATGTTTTATTTGGCCCACTCAGTTCCATAACCATCTGTCTTTCATTCCTGCTCCGGTGTTGTATTATTCTATCTTTTGTTCCATTTTTACTGTTATTTGGTGTTCTGAGAATTATGGAAAGAATGATATAAATTGAACATTGTGCTATAAAAAGTCTGGCTAGAGTCAAATTCTGGCAGCGTTTTGTGTCTCAAGCTTAAAAAACAATTGTACAGTAATGACTGTACACAGTTGGGTCGCAAAAATAAAACCATTTGACTCTCTGCTGGGTGCAATCATGGCATCTAAAGTTAGCATTGCAAAGATGGCACCGATTAAATGCAGTTGTTTGTGTTTGTCAATTATGTATTTGCACTCGAGTTTATTTGCTGCATGAGCTGACCTGAGTCACCGTTTATTTCTGTCTGTGTGTGTGTGTGTGTGTGTGTGTGTGTGTGTGTGTGTGTGTGTGTGTGTGTGTGTGTGTGTGTAGTCTCTAACAGGCTTTGCCTTGGTGGTGAGCAGTGATGGGATGGTCTTTTATGCCTCCTCGACCATTGTGGACTATCTGGGATTTCATCAGGTGAGTTGAGCATCTCAGTTTCAGATGTACAATACTGCAAGTAACATACTGTGTAATGAAGTAATGATGTTGTATGATGAACTACAGATAGAGTAGTAGGTAGTGTCACAATGTGCAACATTTCTCCTAAAAGGAGGAAAAGGAGGTGTGTTACCCTTTTTACTCAGCTATTAGTCCAACTCATCGCGTTTTGGGGGGAGTGACCCATGTACTGAGGTTAAGTCCTTGCTGCAGTGGCCACGGATTTGACTCCGACCTGTGGCCCTGTGCTGTGTGTCATCCCCCTCTTTCTCCCCCTTTTCTTTTCCCTCTATAGCTGTCACTATCCATTAAAAACAATAAAAGCCACCCCCCAAAAAAACGTATCACGTTTTTGACAAACTGTCAGTCGTCCAGTGGCCTCCTGCTTGAGGCTAAGGTAACCTGAATCCATAAAACTATTTCAGGAATTTAGGCAACTGACAGCAAACACAACCAATATAAAATGATTATTGAATATTCAGTTAAAGGTTTCTTTCCTTCCCCCTGGTTTTCCTTTGTTAGTGTCTCTGTACCTCTTCTGTTCTATTGCCACTCACCTCAAAGGAATGATGTTAAAGAAACATTTTGGGAAATACACTTCATACATGCTCTCTATTTCTTTAATAGGTTGGATCAATTATAAAATAAATGTGTAATCAAACAAATGTTTAAAAGCACAATTTTATACTTTTGATATCCCCTTTTCACATGTAATAAATCCAGCCTCTCACATAGCCCCTCTCAAGGTACTCCCTCAACAAGTGTAAGAGATGTCTGCCATTAATCACCAAGTTCACCTTTCCCCTTTTTCACCCTCAGCCGATACTTTCTGTCCTCTTCCATCCATCCCTTTTCACTTTCTTTCCTTTTCATCTTACAGTTAATGAGCCAGTCTCTCTTTCAGTCTGACTTGCTGCTGCCTGATAACTCTATAGAGGGCAGAGCGAACCCACTAAGTCACAGCTAAGAGGCCACAGGAAGGTGAAGACCTCCATTTCACCCTGAGATACACTCTGTGGTGTGTGTGTGTGTGTGTGTGTGTGTGTGTGTGTGTGTGTGTGTGTGTGTGTGTGTGCGGGCACTGATAAGTCACCAACGGTTTAGCTTCCTTCCTCTCCGGCGGCTATACCCAGCCAGTCATTAATTATGGATGATATCAACACAGGCTTGCCTGGCCTGCGATGCTGAAATCATCCCCCTCCTTCAAAACCATGAATAAAGTGCTTTTCACTGTTAAAATCCCTCCTTTGCCCTCATGTCTGCTTATGCACGCACACACACACACACACAGACACTTTTGGGTAAAATTCTTCTGGTACAGCGCTCCCACTTGGCTTACAAGCAGACGGGGGCAGTAACCCAGGGCCATGAAATCGACATGAAAACCAAAGTGGTCTGCAAGATCCTGCCACAGTGTCTATATGTGTGTGTGCAGGGTGGCATGAGAGAGCCAGTAGAGACAGACAAAAGAGACAGTTGTTAGTGTGTCTTATATTTGCATTGCAACAAATGAACACAGAAAATGCTGCAGAATGTTAAAACATTTCATTTCATGCTGTCTTATGTAATGTTGGATGTAAACATGGAATATTTTTCAAAAATATACTTAAAAGTATACTTGTAAATGTCATCAGGAGAGATTGGTAATGGCTATCTTCGCAGCTCAAATTTCAAAGAACGGCGGGAGATGGACGTTCCAAATGCAGTTTAAATGGAAAAAATCTGTTCAGCCACTGTGGATATATCAATGTCTAAAGTCAACAAAACTGTCTTCCCTGCAAATTTGAGGGCGCTGGTTAAAAGCTGTAGGTGGTCGATTTCAACATATTCACCCAGGGAAATACATTGGAGCTAGGCAAAAACGTTATTGAGAACATAAAACCATTTGAAAGGTCTGCTTAATGTGATATTAAGTTAGGGAACATAGGAACCAGTGAACACATATATACACACATATACCACATCAGCATACTAACATACTCACAATGACAAAGCTAACATGGTGGTGTAAAACCGATATAATGTTTACTACGTTCATCATTTTAGTTTAGTGTGTTAGCATGCTAACATTTGCCAGTTAGCACTAAACACAAAGTACAGCAGAGGCTGATGGTAATGTCCTTAGTTTTGCAGGTATTTGGTCAAAAACCAAAATCCGACAGACCTACATTGCTGTCCCTAGACAGCGTAGCTAGAGAAGATCACATACGGTTATGTTTGCTTTCAAATAAACAACAAGTGAACATAAAAAAATATTTTTTTTTGACACTTTTCGACTTAGCAGCTGTCTGATTCAGTGTTGAATGGAAAGCAAAGAAATGCACTTGACAAAATTCAAATTCACTAAATCATGCCAATACAACCTCAGCCAGCTTGGGAGCCAAAGCCACCCAGCATGCAAAGCAGCCAAGGCATATAATGTGATAAGGTGATTTCTGATCACCAAAGGCAAAACAAATCACTGTATATACACAAGATCAACTTCAAATTCAAAACACGTAGTTCTGCTACTAGTTAGTTTTGCCAATACTGAGAATCAGTGGTTCTATATAAGTTCTATATGAGAAACCCAAAATTGAAAGTGTTGTTGACAGTACAACAAGACAGTCTGTCCTTGCAGTACATACAAAAATTCATCACGTTATATTTCAGAGGCTGTGATCAAAACAATCTCATACCCTTTCCCACATGTTCAATTCTCGCAAAGGAGCTATTGGTTGTTTTTAAGTCACATATTTGCCTCTAAGGCCTTGACAACATGTCACATAATTCTGAGCCCACAATTGTAGTCAGAAGGACACTTATCCTTAATATACCACAGGAAAAAAAGAAAAGAGAACGCTTCACTAAGTAGCACCACAAGAAAGCCCTGGAGAAGAGCAGAAAACCTCCACTGGCCTTTGATCCCATTTGTTACTGGGGCAGTTAGCCTTTGAAGGTCAGCGAAAATATCACTTATTCTCCATTTTTTTCCCTTCTTCTTTTCCTCTGTGTGTTTTTTACGAGAAACATAAACAATAGTCACTCGATCCGTCTGTCTGCCTGACTGCCGGTAGGGAACCAAACCACAGGACGAAGCGCCCGCCGAAGACGGTGGGAACAGATTGTGTTTTCAGAGGCAGGCGATCAAAAACCTTCGCGTGCCACCAGTGTGGAAATTATGGAGAGAGTGCGGGGAGGAGGGAAAGAGGGAAGAGGAGAAGGTTGAACATTTTAGTGAGGAATCTGTCATGGAATGACAGAAAGCAAAGCTATTGCTGGAAAAGAGAGAGAGGCATGACGAGAGTGAGCTGGAACCCAACTCACTGTGTGTGTGTGTGTGTGTGTGTGTGTGTGTGTGTGTGTGTGTGAGTGTGTGAGAGAGAGAGAGATGGGGAGGGTAAGCTAGGCTGGACTGCTGTTCGGGAGCTGGTGTCACGCGATGTTTGACAAACACAGCTGCCCTCACTGGCCCTACAGCTGCCTGTAGACTGTAACCGTACTGGGTAAATGCTCCTCGTGTGTGTTTGTGTGTGTGTGTGTGTGTGTATGTGTGGATGTGTAGGCATAGTGAATATCTGTGCACGTATGTTTCTGTGACTTTCATTGACTGTGTGTGTACAGTAAGGTCCTTGTATGTGTGATAGGGGAAGTTAGCACGCTCCCTGGGAATCCCGAGGCAGACTGACTATATCTGAGCAGCAACAACTGGAATCTTCCCTCCAAACTACAGCTACCAGCTGCACTGGTGGCAGCAAAACACAGTGGTCCACAGTCAGCCTGCAGACGCTGCTGTGAACACGCAGTCTCATGTTTCTGGAGACTTTCAGGAGAAAACATGAGGAAACTTGAAAACTAGAAATGTCTCTGGCTGACTGTAGTGACTACATACATATGTTAATAAAGTATCTTATTTAAAGGTTCTTTATATGGCATTCACTGCCACTAGATGTCACACTAGAGCACCAGCATCTCAGACCAAAACAAAGGGAATTTTCTTTATTCAAACTCGACAAAAACAAAATAAAACTCACAAAAACCGTCTTTGTTAGTCTTTCCAGTCTTCCAACAATCACCAACTCTGCTTTGGTCAAAATAAATCCTTAATTCACCACATTAGATGAGAAAAGAAACCACCACTTCAGTCACTCTCCCTAAAACCAACATGCACACATGCACGAACATACACGTGCTGCCGGACCAGCAACCAAAACAAAGAACAGAGAATCTTGGATCACAAGAGACACAGAGGGAGTTTGATTCAGTCATTCTCTCCTCAGGACACAATTATTCCACTATATTTTTACATAGTAAATAGTTGATCGCTGCTATGTTCAAAATATAATTTGGATGATCTTTAATAAACTTTTTCCCACAGACTGACGTGATGCACCAGAATGTGTTTGACTACATCCACATAGACGACCGTCAGGAGTTCAGACGACAGCTCCACTGGGCCATGTGTCCTCCACAGCACCAGGGGACATCAGCACACCAGGACACCCAGCTAGCTTCAGGGACTGGTGGGTATAGCTGACTAAGGAACCAGTTCCCATGAGCAAACTTTTTGGTTAAAAGTTCATGTGGATATAGTGGTGACAGACTTTTATCTTTAAAGGTTTTAATCCCATTTTGATTTTAAAGTTCTGCTGGTTACTTTTGAGGTAGATCTGTGGTATGTCATCAGTGTCGTGACAGCCAGAAACCTCAGGTAAATGTAAAAAAAAAAGAAAGATGATGCACCTAAATTCCTGCTCATTGAAACCAGACCAGCATAATCACAACATATCAGTTTACAGTATATCCATATTCAGTAAATATTGTGTTTTCAAAACTGATATGTTTCTTTTTGTACCTCCAGTTGTAAGAGTAGATCCACTTTTCTAAATGTCAGTGTCATTTTGGAATATATATATTATATATTTTTCATGCAAATAGCAGTTCAAACTAAATATTTTTTCTTCTCCATCTTTCTCTATTACATCTCAGGTGAGGACTTTGTCGTGAGCAGCCTGTTCCATTCTCCGGAGGCCGGGGGAGTTTCTCCTGAGCTCTCCTGCTTTCTCAACAGATGTTTCATTGCCCGAGTCCGATGCCTCTTGGACAGCACCTCTGGATTCTTGGTGAGTGGTCTGAGCCAAACTGACAGCTAAACTGAACAGTAACTTCAGTTTACGCAAAATTAAAAAGTGCAGAATATTGCATTGAGCATGGAGTAAATGTTGCCCACTTTCTGGGAGAAGACCCAGGCCTATAAAAAGTATTATGACCCCTTTGGTACAGCAAAACTTCATTTTTAATTGTAGTGTGTACAGTTATTTATAGTTGTATTGCAAGGCATTATGAGGTAATTGGGTGCCTGGACACAGCAGCAGAATAGGAGCCTGGTTCATCCCTCATGGCTGTGACTAGAGTGGTTTGGATAACAGCAATGGAAAAGCTAGAAACCCTGATGACAGAGCAACAAGAATATGGGTTTGGACCATTTCTTCAGGGTCAATGGAGTTCACTGTCACCAAGCCCGCTTTGGTTGCACAACAGAAATTATAGATGGCAATTTTCTGACATATACTGGAAGCACTTGTAGTGATCAAATATTGCTAAGATGCTTTCCTCATCAGTCACCATCCCAGAAGAGACACACAAATTGTAATATAATGCACAATACGCAAAAGAAGACCAGTATTAACTCTCAAGGGACATGAAATAACACTGCTGCTAATTCTGCTCTATTTTAAGCTATGAGTGAATGAGCATTGGCTAAATTCCATTGAACATGTTCAAACCAGTAAATTCTTCTTCTCTCCCTCAGACTATGCAGTTCCAGGGACGGCTGAAGTTCCTCAACGGTCAGAAAAAGAAGTCAGCCTCTGGGGCTCTTATGCCTCCGCAGCTGGCTCTGTTCTGCATAGGTGTACCACTCCTGCTGCCCTCCATCACTGAGATGAAAATGAAGAACATGTTAATGCGAGGAAAGAACAAGGGAGCAGGAGGAGGCATTATCTCTGCACTGGAGCATGGGTAAGAGGAAATTAAACATTCAACATCCTTGCAACTTTAACTAAAGTCAGGGGGGATGATGTATATTCACACTTTGTCCACGTGTAAATCCACTGATAGTTTTAATGGGGGTGCTATACTGTAATTAAAGGTCAAAGGCTTTTTAACACAAACTTGATGTCTCAGACACCATTGGTAAAGGTCATAGTTGTAAACCTTGAAAGGCCACAGCCACTACATCATCAGTTAAGTTTTGTTGAAGCTCGGAGTTATGATGCATATTGTCACCAGTCAGCCCAGAGATGCCCTCATAAGGGACAACATGTTTACTTTGGTTTAGTACAGTTTACATATAAAAACATACTTAGTGACTGCTTGAGTAAGATCCACGAGGTAAGGGCACAAAAACACACATTCAAAACAGTGTTAGAGTAATGAAAAATTACATTGGGCATCAGTCATGTGTTATTTATTCATTCTTGAGTTTATTTTCTAGAGATACTATCTTATTACCCCGCAACAACTTCATGAACACACAAGCATTACCCTGAGACCCAGTTACCAACACAAACATAAGCCCTTTCCTCACCGTGCGGGCTCTGACACCAAACCAAACGAGTGCTGGACGCCTTACCTGTGGCCAATTAGAAGCAAATACATGTCTCAGCTTGGATAAGGCCCTCTGTGCTTCATGCATCATTAAGTATGTTGGGAGGCTCAGAGGCCAAGAGTTGAGCTAAAGTCAGAGAGCAGAGCCCTACCACCCCCTCTGCTGTTCATTCCTTCTCAGCATCATTCAGGGCAACAAGGATAGTGTTAGAACTCTGTAGAAAAATACCAGTCACCTATAAGTGGACAGCATGTTGGCTGGTTGGATTAGGAGACCATGAAGCTTATAGGTTGGGGGTTGAGTCTTCAGTACTAGAATACCTCAAATGTACAACACACATGACATTGGTTTGAAGGAAAAGTACTGCAGGGTAGCTAATATGAGGTGTGTCTTTGCCTATGATGAAAAGGCAGTACTTGAAAATGTCTATAATTTATAACTTTAAATCATAAGGTCTTTACATCATAAAAGTAATTTTACTGACTAAAGATATTACCTGAGAACAAAAAATACTTTAGAAATACTTCCAAATCTCTACTCTGATACTACTCTAATCCAATAATACTAATCCAAAGCCTTAGCTGCTGTAAACTGTGAGTGCTGGCCGTCATTGATCTTTGGGTCCTGGATGTTGACTCTGTTCTCAATTTTCAGATTAGATGAATCCTGGAAAAGATGAGTCACTTTTGGAATGATTCTCTCTTATGAACTAAAGTGAACCAAACCTAGATATTTGTGCTTTGAGTCATTCATCAATCAGTAGAAAAAACATTCGTGGACATTCCCATATGGATATCTGAGTGGACAATTATTATTTTAAGACACCACCTCTTCTTGAATGTCCTCAAGGACTACACAAACTTGATCTACACTGATTGATTTGTCTTCCTGTTTTCGTGACTAATAATTCAATTTTCCTTTTTTCCAATCCCTCTTTCCTCCCCACCCCACTTTTCATGCCATCCCGTTCCCTCACAGTGAGCGAGGGGAGCACATCCGGAGGCACTCCTTCAGTGGAGGAATGGGTGACATTGCAGACCCTCTCCTCCTCTCCTGTCCCACTCCTGGCGCTACCCAGCGAGGTCACCACACTCCCTGGACCCCGCTCTCCAAAGACAACCTAAAGTACCACCCTGATGGTTACTACAACCAGGAGGAGCCCCTCAACTACTGCAAGTCCTCCATGGCTCCCCATAAAGGTGTCAGCCCTGGCCTGGGCGGCGGCTGGCCTCTGCGGCCAAACTCAGGTCCCATCAGAGCAGGCCAGGGTGTCGGCTACATCTCCTCTAACCGCTTGAACAAGGTCGGCCAGTATGGAAAACCATACCGGCTTTCCCCCAACTGCCACAGCGGCAGAGGTGGCGAGGTGTTTGTGTCTAAGCTCTACGGGAACGTCCAGATTCCCACAGATCCAGATGCCTACTGTGTGGATCTGGTGAAGAACGAAAATGGCTACAGAGAATGCTACGACGGCCATCTGATGCCCGAGATGCCACCTATCAAGGTAGAGCACGACTCGGACTCTGAGAACGGCTGTGATGCCTATGGGCGACCCTGGGCTTGCCGCGACCCAGAGGCCATCGACCGTCGCTACGGTAATGGGGTGTACGACCAGACCTCAGGCCTCCATCTCAAATCAGAGGCAGATTACTATGATCCACAGTACTCGCCCTGTCAGCGAGGGAAAGCAGGAATCAGCCCACCGTACAACAACGGCAACTACCAGAACTATGCAGTCAACAACACCGGCAACGCAACCGGACGTCTGTTAAAATGTGACAAAGACTTGGGCAATAACAATGACAACAGCCAGTTTAGTCCTCAGAGACTCTCCCACTCAGACTCTCTATGCAGCAACCAATCTATCAACCTCATGGACTCGCACGTCTATCCACAAGACCCTCACAAGGCCTACATGCACCAGGACTACAACAAGCATGGCGGTTATGAGTTCAAAGGTCACGGTCTGATCCATTCAATCAAGCGGGAGCCCATGGACTCCCCACCGTGGTCCGAGAATGCTCACGACATGGGCCAGTCCATGATGGTTGGTCCAAGGAACGCTATGCCATGTGTGATGAGCACAGGGCACCACAAGTCAAGTCCCTACATTTATATGCCGTAAAAATCAGTTCAAACATTAGCAGATAATAATCAGTGTGCATTAAAGTACTTGTGCCACATGCACCAGCATTACAAGGACAGTCTTTGATTACGAGGATTCCCAGGATGTCACCATTTAAATTGCTTCTTCTATTTGATGAAGAGGTCACAAACAAGACTCAGGTTCTAGTGTTAATGTTGTGACAATCAGAAATAATAATTTTAATCCATAAATAGATAGATTATTTAGTTTTTAAGGAATACATTTTGTAGTTGGTTCCAAGCACTTTTTGGATTTTGTGACAATGAGACAAATTATGTCTAGAAACACCATTTCATTTTGTTTTATGTGTTGTGTACACTTGGCTTTTGTGGGAGGAACAAATATTTTGCTGTAAAAAGATACGTTTTTTTCTTAGCTATGTATGCAGGAGATGACTTACACTTACTGCTGGGCTTATATAGGGAGGAGTCAGTGATAACAACTTAAAGGACAATCTGCCTTGATGGTGGTTTTGCATGTTTTAATGCTTTAACTATAAATGGCCTACCTTTTTCATTACTGCCTCCAGTGATGTATGAATGGAAATTACTGGTTTCTATGCATTTTAGAATCGTATTAAATCAACTTGCAGAGACTTGGAAAGAAAATATTGGATAAAGTTACATAAATGTCATAAGATAATACGTTTGCAACCAGGGTCTGCTTTAAAACCATTGATACCTAATATTGAGCAGCTGCACAACCAAATTCATTGACATCTTTTTCACAACACCCATGTTTTCTCAGTGTTTGTGTTCTGAATTTGATTTTCCAAGAGCATAGCTTATAATCCAATTGTCAGAGCATCCTTGAACACACCATTAAGGACAGTTATTTAAAACCTGACAGTGACATAAAGTTTATGCAATTTGTAGTTAATGGGTCAAAACATGTAAAACTATTAATATGGCCAAAGCTTTAAGTATATTCACTACATTTGTTTATTAAACTAGAAACAGCCTGATTAGACAGACATAGGCCTAAGGGCATTAAATAAGGAGGCACAGTAAGAATGGAAAGAAACCCTGACTCACAAACCTTTGGTTTAACCATGCGTCCTGCTGAAGCATCCTTGAGCAAGGTACTAAATCCTAACAAGTTCTGCAGGCACCCCTCTGTCCCTGCTGCTTGTCTCTAACCTCCTTAGGGAAGGGATACAAGTAAAAGTGAAGTTTAGGGTGTGCAACAAAAGTATCAGGATTTCAAAACTGATTTAAAAGTAAGTCACAATTAGCATTTACCAGCATTAAATTGAAAATGTAAACATGAAAAGTGACAACAACTCAAATCAGACACTAGAATTGTCATTGAATTGCAGGCCTAAGACCAACTTGGACTTAAGAAAGACACTCTGCACTAGTTAAATGATGTATTTTGAGTTGACGGTTTGTTGGACAAGGATGAAGTGTTTGAATTGAAGGAAAGGAAGGTAGTCTATTGTTACAAGGCTCAATGTCGATTCTTGCGAGAGCACAATGATTTTGTAATTTTAGGTCATGAAACTCCTGTTGAACGTACAAATATTAATTTATGTCATTTTGTGTCGAAGCTAATGTAGTGTAGTGTGGATTATTGTTCATTGCAAGATCAGCATTTCAATCAGCCTATCTCACTGCAGATACCACACATTTCCTTTGAAATTAATATAAACTTTCATGTTGTCTTTCCAGTCAGAAAACATCAGACATTCTCTTCACAATCAGTATTTTTGCACAAATTAATTAAAAGCACCAAATTGAGTCAATGTCAGAGTCTCAGTTCTGTGAAGCTACTGTGGTAGTTTCTAAATTGCACTACTGGGAGTAGTTCAGTTGAAGTTCAGCCTAGCCAGACAAGTTTTTGAGTCGACACGCACAACTGTACATGGTGTCACTGTTTTGAATTTGTCTTTTTCTCTTTGTGTGTGTTCATTTCAATAAATGTTTGATGACTCGTATTTATTGTAAGAGGCTAAAGTGCATAATTTAAAAACTACAGTTTTGAAGGCTTTTCTGTTTAACTGAGGTAAATAAATGGCTTTTTTTCTTGCTTTCTTTTTGATAATTGTTAAAAAGACTGTCATACTTAGTCTCATGGAGGAGGTAGCTGCAAGGTAGCGAACACAGTGTATATATGCAGTGTCTTCCAATGTTTCTACGTGTTTTTGCAAATGGGACTTATCTATTAAAAGACTTTTCTTTGTATGTAAAATCTGGGTGATGTGGTCTTTTGTTGTTAGGAATATAATAGACAAGGCAACAAACTACTGCCAGCTTGGTGGGCAAGTAACATATCAACATGTCACCTTACAAAAACATAACAGTCATCATTTTACAGACAATTTATTACTTAGGATAGGAATATTACACAGCTGTAAATAGCGAGCGTCTTTATTATTCATTTAAAATTGGTAAATGAGTGAAAGTAAACAGTAACATGCAGTGTGTGCCTTTGTCATGGTATAACAATACATTTTATACACCAGAGTCAGTTTTAAGAGCTAAAATCAAATATTTGATGATGAAAATTGTGAAACAATGTACAACATGGTCTACCTACTAATCTAATGGTTTCCCGCTCTCAGACATTTTCCAGAATGAAAAATGGCCAAATTCTTTTGTTCCGTTAACGTACATGTCTCTTTAGTAGCTTCTGAATTTTTCACATATACCGAATGTGGTCTCATCCTTCAGATTTGTGTCTCTATTAATAATAAATGCTCAGCAGAACAGGATACAGAGTATCTCTAGCCACACTGCCTGTATGATTAATGTGCTGTAAAGTTGGCATGACAGCTCCTTCACACGATCTGGGAAACTTAACACCCATCTCTCACCACTGTCTGCGACAGGGGCTAGAGCCAGGGGAATGTTGGCATCCACAGAGAGGTAGAGGGCAAGAAAAGAGGCAGGGGACAAGAAGAGAAAGAGATGTAACCTAAAAGCTGTGGTTAAATCCTGATCCTCAGGATTCCCAGTAGGGCTGGACCTCCATCCCCCTACAATAGATAGTTCATTGTACTCACTTGGCACATCGGGTTTAAAATAGTCCCTTAACATTGCCTGTCTCCTTTATCCAAATTCCCTCCATCTGAACAGTGCCGCAATTTCAAAATCACAGTTTGGATTACAGTATGTAGCATTTTTCTAACCATTACCTTAATAATCAGTCATATAAAGGGTGCATTGTGACTGGGAAGACTCAGGTCTTTGATCAATAAATTAACTTCCACCTCTACTCTAGATCATACAGTAGTGGCTCTGAGGTAAAACTCAGGGTCCATAAAGGTCATTTTGTACACAGTAATAAAAAATATCCATTTACTAGTTACCTTTGGCCTCTCATGGGCTGTATAAAGCCCGTAACTGTGAATAGATCATGTTCATGCGGTTTCAGCGTGAAGTACAAATTTTTTCCATTTCCAATAGCCAACAGAAAATTGCCAATCAGAAAGCCATTTACTTGACTTATATTATATGTAAATTGAATCAAAAGAAAGAAAGGTTTAGGGATAGAGCAAATGCAGTGTGCGACTAACAATTATAGCACTGGAACATGGAAAATATGCATGAAGATAAGAAAAAAAACTTTTGTTCAACACAGAAATAGCTACTGCAGGAATAATGCTCTGTTGTTCTTCTACACCGCAGAGTATACGACATCTTGGGACTGGGAAATTTTGCTTTAATACAAAAAAAGGTCACACACATTCAAAATTGCTCTTTGATTTATTACAATTCAAGCTATTAGGTCTTTCATATATTTAAAAGACATCAAGAACAAATCAAGATGTTATTTTCATCATATAACTGTGTGAGCACTTGGCCACAGAACCACAGAGAGACATGATATGCATATATCATATGGTGGTAGGTTTGATTAGAGGTGAGAGAAAGTTTTTTGCTTGTGTCTTGTTTAAAGGGGCCACAATGTTGTTTTTATTTTTATTGATTGGACAGCTGATAGTCAATAGGGTTCAGGAAACAGGGGGGCAGAGAGACGTATGACATGCATCAAAGGTTTCCACATAACATCGGACCAGGGATGTCAAAGTTATGTGACAATGTGCTGCAACGGTTCAACTACCGGGGCCTTAATCTTCTGACCTCTGACCTCTAGAGACATAACTCCTCAGTATGAGTGGAGCTAGTGACTCTTGCTTGAACACTTCAGGACTTCTCGCCTCACAAGTTTCCTGTTGCCAGAGTTTTTTTGAGGAGAGAAAAATCAGAAACAGGACTCTTATGGCCGTTACCTGCAGTGGATCCCTCGATGCTCTGATCTGAAGGAACAAGCCTCTCCAACTGATGCCACAGCTACCATCATTCCTCTCTCTAATCCCTCCCAGAAGCTCGTGTTTGTTTCACCACAGTCAGAGTATAGCTTATGGGGAATTACAGGATGCACAAGGATCAGTTAGTGTGGGGATTTTACTTATTGGGATGATTGAGTGTGTATGTGCATGTGCGTAATTGTGTGCGTTTGCATGCTTGTAAATCGAGTTAGCACCAGAGAGCCACATCTTATTTTTGTTTGTGCACCGACAACTAATGAAATTACAGTTAATCATGTTATGATCTTCACAACTTTATATAAATAATATGGACTATGTTATTAAAAATAGGAGTTCCATTCATATACAGTGCAGGTTCATGCTATCACATTTATTTGGCAGTATCACTGACAAAATAAATGTGAGAAAAAGATACCTGGAATTGGCAATTTCATGTACTAGATTTCCAACAACAGTGGATGTAATACAATAGCTGAAGGTTCACATTATCCTGCATCAAAAACCACATAAATCACTCATTTACAAGTTATGAACAATGGAATTCCATGCTTGTCTGATAATGTATGTACAAGTATACAAGGTCCTTTCATTGTCATTTCACAACGCAGAATTGTATAATGACATTTAAGTTGTAGTTCCATTTATGCTAAAACAAAAAAAATATACGTACATAAATTATACAATATACAGCATAATTGATTAATAAATCATAGAAATTAAAATAAAAAACAATTTCAGATAATGGAGTCCGAAGGATGAATTAAGCCATCTCACAGCCTGCAGGAAGAAGCTGCTGTACTGTACAGTATGTGTTAATCAATGTATCATTGTGTATTAATTGGTATCCTCAAAGCTAGTATTTCTACCTTCCACTTCCACTTCACTACACTTCCCATAAACCTTATTAATTCCTCTGCTGGACAGTATTTTGTTGATTCACTATGCAACAAGCTACACAATAGCTGTATGTGTGTCAGCATTGATACATTTGGACCCAGACAGTTGTACAGAAGAACTGTTCTCTTCCTCTTGGATTAAAACACACACTATCAAAATCCCACTTCCTCCTCCAGTTGAAGTCCTGAGATGAAACACCATGTTCAACTTTTTGAACAGGTAGTTAAAATGTATTTCATCTTAATAGGGAGTTTCTAGAGATTTCCCTTTCCATGCAGAGTTTGCATACAGGACAGCCTGGTTGTGACAGGTTAGGTGTATAACTGCCAGAGCATTAATGAGATTCATTACTTGGCAGTTGGCAAAGAGTAGGAAAATATAGCACAGGGGGAACAGTAAAAGGTAAATGACGTTCATAACTCATCCTGATTCACACAGTAATATTGCATTACAGAGTTTAATAGCTCTGGCCCTGCAAACACCCTTTAAAAGGAACTTAAAGTCCCCCTCCACTCAGAAATGTGTTTTTCTTCTTGTTCCTACAGTTGGATGTTTGAGCTTCACTCAGCAGAATGATGTATGAGCAGAGTTTGACACTAGAAAGATGTTTTCAAATGAATCTACTGAACGTGGAAAGTTTCTCTGAACTCACTAAAAATATGATTTTTAAGGGGCGGGGCCTACAAGCATAATCTGTGACATCACCAACACTGGTACAGTTTGAATTTATACAAGTGTGATGTAGAAACTTCAGAAACACTGAGAACTGACTTCACAATGAAGCAGGGAGACTTTTTGTGTCCAACAGGGAAAACTTTAGAAATGAACAAAATTTTCATATTCTGGAATTTTTAATGAGGTAGAAGGAGATCTTTTTAAGGATTTTAATGTGGAAAATATTCTTTTTTTGCTGAAAAAAACACACATTGTTACAAGCAGACTATTTATATATGGCCTAACACATGTCTGGATGGGATCTTTAGGTTTTCTGTAAAGAAAGTGTTTTTTACACAGGAATAAGTACTTTTTGTTTTACTACCTAGACTTGCACTCACACCCTTATTATATCTGATTATTAAAAGATATAATGGAATATACACAGCACTGAGTGTATTGTTATATCGAGCCTGAACAAAGGAAAAGCACAGCGCATTTCTGTGGCCTTAGGGATCAAGCTCTATAAGATGAATTACATCTTAAGTGTATCTCTTGAATATACACGCACAGTTCTCTTCATAAGTGAGTAACAACTAAGTCATGCGAAACAGTGTGTAGTATCTCTCTCACTTTTCCCCAAAAGAGGACTTTGCTTTTTTTTTGTCCCACTGTAGTTTCATGACTGATGATGTGACAATAAGGGGGGAGGGCGGATGAGGCTGACTTTAAATGTTTAATATTCGTCAGCAAGCACGCAACCTTCCATCACGCCATCTGTATGACACTTGTTCTGTACAGGGAGGGGAAAGGGTGAGAATGACAAATAAAGAGACGGAGAGCGAGAGGTGGAGAGATAAAACCTAGAGGTGAGAAAAGAGAAGTTAGCATGAGAAAGGGGTGAAAACAATGAAAAGAGCACATCCAATCAAGAGCGAGGAGTGACCGCTTAGGGCAACTGTATTGTAAGCAAAGTGTTTGATGCTTGTTGACAGCTGTATCTGTGAGGGGCTGTGTACGTGTGTTTGTGTGCGTGTGTGTGTTTGTGTGTGCGTGTGTGTTCGTGTGTGTGTGTGTGTGTGTGTGTGCGTGCAAGCCAAGACCTATAATCCTATACCATGCAAGGTTGCGTGACCGTTCATACCCCACTCTTTGCTGCTCCGCACACCATTTGCCCTAATTGGTCACACCCACTCTGTGTGTGTGTCTCTCTCCACACACACACACACACACACACACACACACACACACACACACACACACACACACACACACACACACACACACACACACACACACACACACACACACACTAATACACACTCATACAGGCAGATGCACCAATGCATACATAGACACAACAATGTCCACATCTCCTCTCCCCATATCCCCCAGTGACAATGAGGAGAATCCTTGAGGGTATGTTACAGACACGCATGCACATAGACATATGCATGCACATTATTATGCATGTATACACACACCCTACTAAGCATATGGAAGACGGTCACGCAATCCCCCGCCCATAACCCCCACAGCCTTCCCACTTCTTGCTTCCTGACTACAATTAGCTAATGAACAACCTTGTCTTATAGCTTACTGTTTTTAGCTGTGTCAATGCCTCTTAAACTGTGGTTTCCAACCTGTTTTGTCTGATGCATTCCAGACAGCTTTCACTTCAAACCAGCCTTCATGATCCAAATATAACGCATTCACTTGAAATCATTTTAAACTGGATGTTATTTTACACCATTCATGATATAAAAGTGGATTGTTACAACAGTTCTTTTATACAACTGAACTGTTAATATTTATGTCAGTTTGGTCAAGTTTCCAGTTGTACTACCACTTGAAAGCTGTTTTTTAGTTTTTTGCCATTTACCATATTACAGCTGTTCATAACTTTATGAATCAGCTATTTCAATGTACTGTTTATCCTACCATCCAACCATTTATCCACTATACAGTGCATTTACCTAACTATTAAAGCTACTGTTTGGGGCTCTCTGCAGGCTCACTTTTAAGCAATCTCAGTCGCTTCATCTTCAGGTGTTACAACTGACTTTTGAATTATTATTAGGTTTCTTAAAACATGTGGATAGTATTATAAGAATTGTAATTTCTATTTGGTCAAATAAATTGAGCTACAATCTTTCCAAGCACCCCCTGGCAACTGCAGCGATACTTCCTCGGGTACAATTATCAGTGTATCAAAATACAATGAAGGACAGAGTTGAAGAAGAAACAGCATTAATAGCTATTTTTCAGTCCCTGGGGTTTAAATATAAACTGTATGTGATGGTATTCAGAGGGATGCAGTGTTAAAATGAAATGGTTTATGTATGTGCCCAGGGGCGACTAGCCAGTTGAAAGGTTACTGAGTGCAACCTGGTGATTCATAAACTAGATATGCAGGCCGCAGCTGACCGTGAGTCATACACACATGCACGCACATACGCCACACGTAAGCAGGCAAGTTCTTTCACTCACACAGAAACACAAAGTGCTTTACAAAAATGTCTCTGGAAAGCCAATAATTCAGCCTGAACTACTGTGTATCTCAAGTTTATTGGCACCCACATATTAATACATGTTATTATTATTATTGTTATGCACACCCACAATCAATCCCATGGGGAAGTGCCGGGCCCAGAACCTACAGGACTAAAGTGAACGCTCTAATAATTTCCATGTGAGATTAGGAGAGTAGAGCGAGATTAAGGAGCCACTGCCAGCACTGTTTGTATTGGGTTGCAATCATGCTCCACTTGATTTATTTATCTATGAGGGTTACAGACGATAGATGCTCAAGATGTCTCTTTTCCTGGCAAATGCTTCCACCTACTGGTCACAACTGCACACTGCAGCTGAGGAAGAGCCGAGTCTTTTTAAATCACATTGCATGAAGCCATGGCTAAAATAGCAACATAAACATAGAAAAATGGAAGCAGCTGCTACAAAAACAGCAAAATTCTGTATCCATACTTAATTTCTCTGGTTATATAGTAGGCAATATACTGATCTGTAATAAATAATTAGTAGAAGTAATTGGTTTTATTGTTAGAACTTACACACAGTAACCAAATATATCATATTTAATAGATTAGTCACTCCACATGTCAATGTCATTTTCAGGAATGCTTTGTTTCCATTTCATTGTATTTGTAATTGAAGCAGGGTCATGAGTTATAAAAGTATAAAAACTGTTATTGTTAACCCTCCTAGCATTCCTTTGCCCAATTACCAACATTTTCTTCCGTCTTACTTACTAGAAGCTATGTGTCTGGAATACGATCTGTGTAACACTTTTGATAATATTTTTGTTAAGTTTTTGACAAACTGTGAATAGAAAGCCAAAAACCACAAGCTATTTAAACTATTCAAATGTTCCTGTGTATGTTTGACATTGGAATGTTCCACATCTTGGATAAAATGTTGAATTATGAATGTAGCAAAATTGATGGTTGTAAGTAACCCGGGTCACAACAAAGGATTCAACTGGCATTTCTTCACAGTAATCATTAACATAATGTGATCAGTCTGCCTGAGAAATAATAATACTTTTTACAGTATTTCACTGCAAACTAAGAAAGCACTCTCAATTCATTAGACTAATGTGCAGATCAGGCTCCATTCATACTATTCAGGTCACAAACAGGACATGATTTAATTTACATTATTATATCTAAAATCTGAATGGTACAATCCAATCACTGACATGAAAATGACTCTCAGACTGTGGGCTGAATGATGTCTAGCTGTACACAATCTGACCATTTCATCTGGAATGAAAAAGTGCTTCAGATCCCTGAGATGTGACATTGCCAACCCAAAACCCTGAAGGGTGTGTTAGCGGTTTAACATCCCTGTTTTTAGAACTGTGGGTGGACTGCATGTGATCTCTGATCTACAGCAGGTACTTTGCCCTGGACAGCAAATGGACAAATGGAAAACATCTGTGTGGCGTGGTCGCAGGTGGAACACACTTCAAAGTTTCAACCTAGAGAAAGCATGGCTTACACACAGTAACCAAACCTAACCATCAGCAGTTTTCTGCTCTGTGTGAGTCATTGCGGGTTTGAGTGTTTTGGCCTGCAGTGGACAGCATTTAATCAACGGGTTTACCTTAGCATGACTGAAAATCCAACTGTGGATTTGTCACTCAGGAAATGGCCCTGTATGAATCGGTTTGTACAAGACGTATAAGTAAGTAATTAAGTACTACGGAGACTGAGTTTTAACAAAATACACACTTTATTCTTTTAACGTGTATCCATAGTTCATATCATCTTCAGTTAAAATTGCTGAATGTTACTCAACCTTCAGCCTCTGTGCAGTTTGTGTTGGTTTGTAATGAGCTACAATCTGAATCAAGATGGAAGAGTTGATGATCATGAAGAGCAAACCAGCGAGCCAGATCAACAGGAAGGTGTTGTAGCCTTCAAACTCCAGAAAGTAGGCTGGACACAACCAGATACCCTGATAGTGAAGAGAAAATATAAAACTTTTTTTAGGCCAGGGTATTATAAATATTGCAAAAAAAAAAAGCTCGGTTAGATGTTGAATATAAGAATATAAACAGGTGAGTAAGAAACCACAGACAGATACCATCAATGCATCTTACACCATTTTAAACCCAGTTAATGGCATTATCTTGTGATATGAAGATTTTGTCAATAAGCTGCATATAAGAAGTAATGTTAAATTGTAACTCTGTAACTGTAAATAAACTGAATTACCTGCCCAGCAAACCAGAGGAGCAGCAGTCCGACTCCCTGTTTGAGTGACAGACTCAGGTGAGGGATGACCAGAGGGAGTAGACACAGGTACCACAGGAAGTACTACGAAAGGATAACAAGCAACATTGTTAAAGGCTGGTGAAGGGTGTGAGCTAAGGCTAGATACAATTATTCTACACATGATATTGCACTCTACATTAATATTTACAGTGACTAATAATGACTGCCAGACAGTGCATCATCTGATCTCTGCTTAGACTCTGTGTGTTGATGGTGCTTTATGTACCTGGGAAGTGCAGACTTTGTTGAAAGACACAAAGATGGCGGTGTGCAGGAAACAGCAGAATGCCAGGTCAGAGTGAAAGGCCCACGACGCTACCAACAGCAGGATGAGCTGTGGGAGAAACGCTGCCAGGCCGAGCCACTGGCTCCACCTGCTGTCTGCACCAGCAAAAGAAAAGAACCTGAGCAGGCTTACAGTAGAAAGCTGCCTCGCTCTTCAAATTTTATAACTGATTTAATAAACAAGCACTTTATTGCTGCTGACCAGAAGCACTGTATCTCTGCACATGGGCTAGAACTTTATGCCAGTCGTTAATGGTGTCAAATTAGGAGGCTTTAAATGGCTGGATGGGGGATTACCTGCAGTGAGGTAGAGCATATAGAAGTATGGAGAGAAGTTGTGTCTGATGTCCCTTCTGGTCAGATGGTACAAGTAGGTCTCATGAAGGAACTCCCAACCATACCTTTAGGAGAGCAGAGTTTTAATATATTACTCAACTTTATGTAGAAAAAAACTGATTTACTGTTCCTAAATAATCATTGTCAAAGTAATATTTCAACATTTTACATCAATAATGAATATCCACATCTTGTGTAACTAGCTAAATAATTCTTTCTGGACTAGCAGGATATAGTCAAACACTAACTACAATATTTTATACTGGCTATACTTGAATGAAAGCCTTTTACTATGTGATTGTGTGTAATTTCTTTGTTCACCTCACATGTAATAAAAGAACGCTGTGAGCATACAGAAGACTCCTCCGGCCACACTTGCAAAGAGGAGCAGCTCTCGGTTGAAGAAGCTTCCTATAAACCCAATGAAGCTCCTCCACCTCTTTCTTTCCTCCTCTGATCTGGTCTCTGGTGTACGCAGGGTCAGAGCAATGGGCAGAGCATATGTAATTGGGTAGATTTTCATATGGACTGACAGACCATAGAGTATGGCTGCCCACATCAGATGCCGGGCTAGAAGAAAAAAGGTAAAAAGTGTAAGCATTACATTACAAAATGAACAATATCTGCATTATTTTAGAGATAAAATGTACCTTCCATGCAGAGTAATGTCCCCAGCACCAGAGCTGCCAGGATTGACTCAGCATTCCCTCGGCTGGATACTCCCATCGTCAGTGGGTTGAGGAGCCACAGTGAACAAACACGACGTGCAGTCTGAACATAAATCCGCCCAAAACACAACTTTACCTGCACTGTGCATCTCCAAAATAACTCTAAACTCCGTTGTTTTTATAGGACAATTTGCAATTATAGTTGGCAATGATTTATAAACTACTACAAAGAAGCAAATTTTAGCATTTATTGGATCAGATTGATTAAATATGTCTGAAAACGTACCTCAGAGCCCAGACCTCTCAGGCGGAGGATTCTGTAGATGAGCAGCCCTGACAGCACATCACACACAATGAACAGGATCTTGCCAAATACCATGCTGAGGTAGATGTTAGGGGTGAGCATCCAGGCTAGGAGAGGGGTGTAGCGGTACGTGGATCTGTTGTACGGGGACTCCCCCTGTGGAAAAGTGAAACGATATAGTACAGTAGAAGCAAAAAAGTGCACTTAAAATGACATAAAAGTACTCATTATGCAGAATGGTCCCAGTCAGTGTTATATTACCATATTAATAGATCATTATTATTGAAGCATCAGCATATAAGCAGTGCATATAAACTGGTTGAGGTGGAGCTAATTTACTTTCATATAATGTTGGAGAGATTAATCTGTAACAATACATCAAATTGTATGAACTGATCATATGATTGGTATGTGAAATCTTCACTGAAATATATAAATAATAATAAATATATACGTAGTGGGGTAAAAGTATATATATCACACACTATAATTAAGTTTTATTTGAATGTTAGTAGGTAGTAAAGTAGAAGGAGCATACAGTTTTCATTATATGAGTGACAAGTACCTACAAACTGTACTTAATAGTAAATGTAATTGTGGACGCAGCATTATATTATAAGCCTTACACTGAGCTACCTTCCTCCAGTCAAAGGAGGTATAGGAGGACTGCTGTTACCTCAGTGATGAATCTTGCAGCATCTGTGAACACATGGTAGTCGATGTCGGTGTACTTCACCACCATAGTCCTGTCCTGGTGGTCTCCATAGGCAACTAGGGCCAGCCGTACCGCGAAGGAAGCAGTGAAAAGGACCTGCTTTTCTGTGAGCTTGGTTATGAGCCTCTCCATCACCAGCCAGTCTCCGTGGCCCTTTCAGCTGTCCTTTAACCTTACTGATACCATATATTAAAGTCGTGTTTTGTCAGTAAGCTATTCGTTTGTAAGAGAGCAGACTTCAAACACGACAACTAGGAAGTTATCCGGAAGTGCAGCTCTTCTTCTTCTTCGGGTTTTAATGGCGGTTTGCAAACCAGCTTGTAGGCGCGTTACCGCCACCTGTTGGACTGGAGTATGAAACAGTATGGAAGGACAAGGGAACTTCTTCTCCTTCTATTCTCTTCTTTTTGGACTTCTACTCAGGGCACCAACATAAAGATACATTAGCAGCACCTACCTGCTGGAGTAAGACTGCAGTTAAGTCCACAGTGTGAACAAGCGTGCACTGTGTACCGTGTTTGATCCCTTTTTGTACCAACAGCGACAAATCTCTCCTCCACTGCTCCACTATGCAAAATTACACCTCTGCTATATATGTGGAATGCAAACCAAATGTTCAAAACAAGCCTGCATCATTTCTTCCAATTCTACACTGGTCCAACAAGTTGCAGGTGTATTTAATCCCTTTAAACATGTTATTTAGATTATTATCAGACCTTCATGCTTGAATAGTGTAACAGCCCCAGTCTTAAGGATTCAGTGGAAGAAAGGTCTGAAATAAGACAATAAAAGTAGTTGTTGCTTTTAAATACTTATTCTTCTTTATTGTTCCTCACATTATACTTCTGTTAGTTTAGGTTAAACAGCAGTAATATGATATTAAAGACTTCTCATAGACAACCAGCAGTAGCATTAACACTGACTGATCAAACTGCAGGTTATCTATTTTATCACACATGACCAGATCTCAGAAAGTGTGAATAAATGGAATTGTCACAAAATGTGAGACAGTATTTGCAAACCACACGTTTATTCTGTATGTAAGAGCATAAAGATACATACAAATAACCAGTTCAATCCTTCATGTAAGCTCTTGTCGTTTATAGTCTATACTCATTATATGCATAATGGTACAGTGATATATAGCTGCCCTTTGCTTGATTATAATTCTAGTAATACCCAAGGACATATCTATCTGACAATGTGATTTCATCACATTATTCTCTTTGGTTAATTGAATATCTAAAAAGATGAAAGTGCAGAGAATCTTGCAACCGTCGCACCTTCATATGATATAAAAGCATAGTTGGTGGTTGAGAAAAGAGGCACAATAGACATTGTGATTAAGGCAAATTATTTCACAGGGTGTAAGATAAGAAAAAACAGACTTTAATGATAAACTAGGGTAGGGAGGGTGCAGCAAACAGGGCCATGCATGCATCGGTCTCGACCAGATCTTAAGGATGAAATTAGGTGCTAAAGTTACAGGGCATGAACCTAATTTTCAAGAAGGCACAGGTAAACAGAATCACTCATATAAGAAGTGATGCAGACAGATAAGAAAATCCAACACCACAATCTCATCTTTCTGGTGTTGAAAATATAGGACGGGAACTTGTGTGTGATTAGAGAGAATAGGAAACTCTAGAGCGGTGGTTCTCAACATTCTTCTAGTAATACCAAAACTATAATATTTAATATACTGTTGCTGTAGTAGATGTAGTGTAACCCCCCTCCAGTTGAAAAACACCACTCTAAGCGATGTAGCGCTCACTCGGGGGAGCAGTAACGGCCAGCGAAGAGAATGCTCATGGAGGGGTTGTGTCGGATGAAGAAAAGGAAGGGGTGGTTTGCGATGAAGGTGGCAGGACGCATGGCGCAGCGCAGCATCATGACGGCACCGGTGGCAGCAGCAGCCTCGGTTCCCTCCTCGTTGACCTCCACAAAGGCCTTGTGGATGACCTTTGACAGCACCAGGTCGTTGGCGGGAGACATGCCTGTCAGCAGAGGAGAAGGGAAGAGAATATTTTAAATGAATAATAATGCCTGGTCTCACCTTCACGTGGCAGGAGCACACTGATTTGGAAAAACCTCTGCACTGACTTGTTACTCCTTTGAGCTGTGAGGAGCCAGTTCAGGTTTTGGGTGCCTGTTCTTTAAAGTTTTTATGAATTTATCTGATATAGTCCAGGCACATGACCTACCGGAGAAGTCACTCATCGCCATGTCGAAGGCATCCGCCATGCCCATGCTGACCAGGATATTCTTCATATCATACTTCTCCTCCATCTTGAACCGTGGCAGCCCCACCTGCACCTCAACCTCATCCATCATGTCTGGACGAGTCCACTCCACAAAGTTCTCATAGTTCAGCTCCTTCTCCAGCTGAGGAGGGGGGAGTAATAATAATAATTAATGATTAGCTTGTTTGTGTCTTGTGGGTTTCTTAGTGTGTGCGCAAGTGTGTGTAAGTGGGTCCTACCTTCTCCAGACCTGTTGTACTGTCCTCCATTTCATTGGGGAGGAAGATGAGCATGCTGAGCTCCTTTCCTTTGTAAGGCAGCTCTAGGATCTGTCCGATAGAGGGTTTCACACATTACATCAAATTATATACTGCTCTGGTTTGGTTATTTTTGTGTATTAACAAGATATCTTATGGGATAACAAGCAACAAATAAAATCATTATTCTGTAGTTTCATAGTTAAAACAAAGTCTGGATAATAACCAATATAAACTCATCAATTCTTCTTTGAATCGTGGTTAATCTCATTCACATACACAAGGTAATTGTTGATTGGTTCAGGTGTTGCCTGGTCATTTAACAGTTGGTTGATGGACACATGCTGTATTAATGGATTAATTAGCCGAATTGCTTGATTACCTGGCAGCTGGCTTCAGGGATGAAGGTTAAAGGGAACTTAGTTTTCTTGTACATCATCTTCACTGGCTTAGTGTCATTCTGAAAACAGCAAACAGAAAAATACACGAGCTGAAATCCTGTACACACCACACATTGTTGCACTGGAAATAATCAGCACAAACTCACAAATTAGACAATCCTCTGAGTGAGAAATGGAAATAGATGTCCTTAAAATATCACCAGGGGTCGTCAGTTTACTCATTGATAGAAAAGGGCTCCCTTAAGGAAAAAGGTTGGGAACCACTGATATAGCGTGCAAGTTCCCAGTTGTTTGCCAATAAGTTAGAAGAACTTGTAAAGCTGACACAGCACTGAGGCTTGCTGTTGACTTTTTTCAGTGTTTCTGTCTGTTTCTGTTGTTGACGAATTCAAAACTCACTTTTTATTACTCTGAGGAAAGTCCAATGTCTTAACATGTTTTATTTTGGTAAACCATTTGTCAACCAGCAAAGCAAACACACCCTGTGAGCTAAGAAAAGGCGTCTTTTCACGCTAAATGAATCATGATTTCTTCTTCACTGGAGCATAACAACCTATGATTAAGATCACTGGGAAATGGTGAAATGTGTTCTTAACTAATATGCTATTTAAAAATGTCAGACAAATGACCTTTTATTCTTGTATTCTATATATCAGATTTCACCCTCTTTTGTCTCTGCCATGATCAGGTTTCCTGCCATGACCCAAGTTCTGTTCATTAACCCTTTTCCACTACTTTTAATGAAGAAGTCAGAATTAGCATCCATGGTATTCAAGGAATAAATGGTACACAATACAATGCAATACATTTTTAAAACACATTCACAGACTTTAGCTGACTCCTGTCAATCAGTGTTAGTCTATTGGATGTGTTCTTTGAGCAGTGTTACCTTGTTGAGTCTAAACTTATCATCACGTGTGGCAGCCGCATTAAACTGCTTGTTCCAGTTGCCTTTGAAGTAGATGGCATTGACCAGCACCAGCCTGGTCATGTTGTCCACCACACCGTGGGCCAGCAGATCCTTAATTTTACCTGGCAGACACACGCATGAAGCAATGTCACACAACTGAAGCAATGTCAATGTTAATATATATTAAATAATATTAGGAACCATTGAAAAATGATTTCTATTTTCTTCAAGAAGTGCATTTTCAGGACAATCTGTTAATATAATTAAATAAATAATCATAATTTCAACATTCAACATGAATCTTTCAGCCTTAATGCCAAGATTCAACTCTAACCCCCACCAGACCACCATAGTGAAAACTCATTGCATTGTAACGACATGTCAATGCAATTTTATCAATCTGGAAATCCGGCTATTATTTCTGCATAGAGAAATTAGACTGACACAAGACTGTGATTAACAGTTGACAATGGTTACATGCGTGTCCTTTAAAGGTTCGTATTCATAGACCTTTAACATACTGATACATGTGCATGTTAGCGTGCATGAACCACCTTGTGTCTGGTTCTCCACCCAGTTGTTGATGTTGAGCCTAGCTGCGTCTGAGTTGGATTTGAAGTCCACAGACTCCAGCTCTGCCCTGTAGTGCTTCTTGGTGTCTCCTAAGAAATCCTGGAACCATAAACACCTAATTTACTCATTCTGAAAACAACAAGATATGTATTTGTTTAAAGCCTTTTATGCATTAATTAATAACTATGTAGAAATCGGCAATCTCCTCCCTGATGGTCTTGTTAGTTTATGTGGGTCATATAGAGGCATCAGTATTAAACTGAGACTGATTCGTAACACTTACCACTAATAACTACTAGGTTAAACTTATTGTGTGGTATTAAAAGTCCTTACAGCTAGAATAGTATTTTCACAATCACTGCTTTCCTTGCTGGCGAGCCTGCTGTCAACTCCCTCATTCATCATTCCCTCAGCTCAGAGAATACTGTCACCCCAGCCTAAGAATGTGTAAACCAGACCACACCTTCACACCTACACCTTCCAGGGAAAATACAAACAAAATACACACACCTCAACAAACTGGTAGGACTGCTCCCCGTACAACCTGTTGGCTACACTGAGGGCATACGGAGCATCCGGCTTGTTGAGCTCGCTCAGCAGCTGGGCAAAGCTAACATGGACATCATCCATACAATCCTTGGTTTTCAGGCACTGTGGATAAAGAAGACACATGTTCTAGAGATGCACTGAGCAAGCACTAGACCAGTCTATTATACACGGTGTATAAGACTGGCCTGGTGGTCAGCTTGCCTATTAAGTGATGAGACTATTAAAGAAATAAGCAAGGTTTCTCTGGTAGATTGTTGACTTTGGTGATCAATACTTTGCATTTGGACACCATACAGTACGCTGAATCATGGTGGGTAATTAATATACAGTCGCTCACTTAAATTATTTC